TGTTACCCTTTAAAAAAAAAAATGAAACAATTTTATTTGAGCCCTTTGCATTTAGCTTCAACATCTGTGTCATCATCATTACCAGGGCTGTTTGCTCCATCTGTTGAGATCTCTAACAGAATTTTCCAGACCACATCATCTTCATTTCTACATAAATTATTTGAGCTATTTCACTTTTTAAACCAGAGCATGGTGGTATCACCACATGCACATTATAGTAAGAAAGATTTTTCCTTTCATCTTTTTTTTTTAAGATTTTTATTTATTTATTTATTTGAGAGAGAGAGAATGAGAGATAGAGAGCACGAGAGGGAAGAGGGTCAGAGGGAGAAGCAGACTCCCTGCTGAGTGGGGAGCCCGATGCGGGACTTGATCCTGGGACTCCAGGATCATGACCTGAACCAAAGGCAGTCGCTTAACCAACTGAGCCACCCAGGCGCCCTTCATCTTTTTTTTTTTTTTTAAGTTATTTATTTATTTATTTATTTGACAGAGAGAGAGAGAGCACAAGTAGGCAGAGCGACAGGCAGAGGGAGAGGGAGAAGTAGGCTGTCCGCTGAGCAGGGAGCCTGATGCGGTCTCGATCCCAGGACCCTGGGATCACGACCTGAGCCGAAGGCAGCCGCTTAACCGACTGAGCCCCCCAGGAGCCCCTTTCCTTTCATCTTGTAGGTGGATAATCTCTACAACAAACCACTTTATTTAGTTGTTCTTTTATTCATTTAGTTTTAATTTAACTTTTGAATAGGCAATGATTCATACGGTTAAGCAAATTAAAATATACAAAGTATACAGTCAAAAGTCTCTCTCCCACCTCTATCCTCATCTGCTCAGTTGCTCCTCCAAACTTGAAACCACTGTTTATAGTTTCTTGTGTATTCTTCCAGAGTTTGTTTATTCAGATATGCGTATATATCTCATTTCCCATGGTTTTTTTTTTTAAGATTTTATTTATTTATTTGAGAGAGAGAGAGAAACAGCATGCGAGGGGAGAGGGTCAGAGGGAGAAGCAGACTCCCTGCCGAGCAGGGACCCCAATGCGGGACTCGATCCCAGGACTCCAGGATCATGACCCCAGCCGAAGGCAGTCGTTTAACTAACTGACCCACCCAAGAGCCCCTCATTTCCCATGTTTTAAAGAACTCTGGCACTCTTTAACAATCATCATTTTCTCTAGCAATCAGTGGGCCATTCCTTCTTTTATTTTTCTCTTAGAAGAAAAAGGTCCCTTTTCAAAGAACTTTAGGGGTGCCTGGATGGCTCAGTTGGTTAGGTGTCTGACTCTTGATTTCTGCTAGGGTAGTGATCTCAGTGTCATGGGATCAAGCCCCAAATTGGCTCTGTGCTCAGCACAGAGTCTGCTTGAGATTCTTTCCCTCTGCCCCTCTCCCCACTCTTGTTCATGAGCTCTCTCTCTCTCAAATAAATAAATAAATCTTTAAAAAAAATAAAGAACTTCAGATTATTCAGACTAAATCTCTTGAAATTAAACAACAAGATTCCAGGTATCCTTTAGTTATTTTCATTCATCCATTTGATTCATTCATTCATTCAGCAAAAATCTATTGATTTGCTTGCTGTGTCAAAGATCCTGCACTCAGGTCTTAGAGGATTACAAAGATTATGGATCTTGCCCTGGAAGAACATGTAGTATAGTAAGATACAAGACACAAAGCTAAATAATTATGAGAGATGTATAAAATGCCACAGCATTTCAGAGAAGGGAGAGATTAGTTCAATTCTATGGATTAAGGAAGGCTTTGGGAGGAAAATAAACTTTGAGCTGAGTCATGAAAGTTGAGTCTATGTACCTATGGAGATGGGATGATGGAAAAGGAAGAACATTCTATGTTATATCTTAGCACTCTTGTTTTCAAGTGACAGAAACTCCAAGTAGCTTAAACAAGAAAGAAAAAGTAGGAGGGTACTATATTCATTCCTGTAACCAAAACCAGAATAGATAAGACTGGAGTTATATTTAGTGTCAATAGCATACAAAGACTTTATCAGCATTACCCTTTTCTGTCTCTCCTTCCTCCATCCTGCCTCTTCTCCTTCTTCTAACAGGTTCCTTCTTGTAACAGGTGTTATTACTGCCAGTAACTTTGGCATCATATTCTTACCCCTCTCAATCCAAGAGTAAAGAGAGAGTTACTCCTCAGCTTCCAATTTAGAAATTTTGGAAAGGACTGGCCCAGCTTGGTGGTTATACCCTGCTGTGAGTTGGGAAGGGAGGCCCTGCATTGGCCAGCCCCACCAGAAACACATTGTATTAAAGGAGCAGTTTCCTAAGGGTGCTGTTATCCGAAGAAGATGGGAAGGAGTGCAGGAGAGGCACAAAGCATGGAGGTCCATTTATACCTGCAGCATGAGCAAAGGCAAGAAGGCCGCAAATTACAGGTCATGCTGTGAATATGGTGAGAAGCTCAGTTTTGTTTCAGAAACAGGGCTTGGGACTTGTGTAAGGGAGCCAAGGCATTTGTGGTGCAAAATTTCAGAGGTATTCTCAAATGCCAATCCTGAACTTGTAGAACTCTGAAGGGGTGAGGAGAGGGGGAAAGAGAGAGAGAGAGGGACAAACCTCCTTAAATTTTGTAACTTAGGCACCTTCCTTACTTGCCTCAACCTAATCTTGGCCCTGTTTAGAAAGAAGGGATGTTCAACAGTGTTGAAGATAACAGGCTGAATAGTTGAGGACCGAGTAGAGTGACCTTTGAGGGGATAGTATTGATGGAGCCATGCAAGTAAAAGCCAGACTGCAAGAGGTTAAGGAGTAAGTATCTAGTGAAAAAATGGTGGCAAAGAATGTAGGCTACTGTCTCCTCTATCATGAAGTTTGGTGGTAAAAGGAATGGTAGAGAAGGAATTACAACTTAAGGAGAAAGCTGGGGGCCCAACAAGTTTATTTTACTTCAATTTATTTTTAATATTGGTGCTATTTGGCCCAAGAAGCAGTCATCTACTTCCATGGAATGACTTTAAGGATTCCTGGCTCCCTTCCAACCAAAAATAATTTTGTACTAGTTTACTAGTGATGTCTAAATTGCTACCATTAGTGATTTGGGGTTATTGAATTAAAGGATTATCTCCTAGCAGTTAGTAAGTACCCCCCTAGGTCCCCATCTGTAGGTAATTCATTAAGCTTTTAGCAGCTATTTGTATGTCAATGTGAATTGGCTTATCTGATTTTTTGTTAACAACCGAGAATAGATTTTGATAAAAGGAGGGTGAAGAGCACTGAAGCGTTTTTGACAGTTTGGGATGTGGCACCTTCAAGGAGGCAAGGTGAAGAACTCCCAAAAGGAAAAGGTGAGGTTCTAAGGGGTAACCTGTCTATCTCACAGTCCTACCCAAGGCCAGCTACAATCTGAAACTCTTTCCTTCCATCAATGAACCATTTTGTAAAACAGCTTTTGAGTAGAACCTTGTCAAAACTTTCTGGGGAAATGCATTATGTCCTGGATGATAGAAAACAGTACTAGACATAGAATCAGAAAACCTGTCCTAAAAAAAAAGAAAAAGAAAAGAAACCCTGCTCTTGTCAAACACTTACTTGGCCTGTGCAGAAGCAGAATTACCTTGAGGCAAGTGACACTTAGGTTGCAAGTTACCTTATTTGCACAGAGCCCTTCAAAGGCCCTGGGAGGATCCTAGCAATATGTTCATTTGATCATGCATTTTTGGAAAATTTGCAAAACTAGATAATTTAACTACAATAGACCACCATCCCCATCCACTCCTATTTTCCCTTTGCCACATTTCCCTTCGTGCTGGGTGGCACTGGAGTAACCAGTCATTTTTGCTATCCAGTACCTAAAGGGAACTTGAGTTGGGGATATAGTTTGGGTTTAGTGGTATATATTTTTTATGGTTTGTTGTCATTTCTGTGTATTGTTAGGTCATTGCCAGCTCTTTTGGTGCAGGGATGTCTTGTAGGAATATTCCTATTGCCTGTTGTGCTAATTTATGTTTCACAGCATGAATATGTAAGGTCGTTGATTACAAACTGGTTAATGAGTGTTGTCAATGGAAAGATTATTTAAGATGGGTCACTGCTCAAGGAAACTTGAAATGTCTTGAAATCTGTTCATATATGAAAGAAACTTCACAGAGGCTTTCCCAAATTTGATACCAATCCAGAAAATTACATATGGCATTACCAATGAGCTATGAAACTGAAAGAAGCTTTTCTAAACTATGAATAATAAAAATATTAAAAACCAACCCATACTAAAGGAAAGACTGAATTATTTTTCTATTCAAGATTGTATTGTAAAATTGTTGTCATATATAGAAGCAATCAAAGAACACACAGGAAAAAAAAAGTAGGGAAAAAACTATTCTAGAGGTATATATGACAATAAAATGATGTTATTATTTGGATTTTGTGACATTTGTTGTATTTGCTAGGTTTTAAAATTTTGTAAATTTTGTGATTTCTTATACCCAATTTTGTATTCATAATATTGTATCCTTTATCTTTTCTTTTTTTTTTTAAGATTTTATTTATTTATTTGACAGGGAGAGAGAGCTTGAGAGGGAACACAAGCAGGGGGAGTGGGAGAGGGAGAAGCAGGCTTCCCGCCAACCAGGGAGCCTGATGCGGGGCTTGATCCCAGGACCCTGGGATCGTGACCTGAGCCGAAGGCAGACACTTAACAACTAAGCCACCCAGGCGCCCCAGTATCCTTTATCTTAAAGAGTATCCTTCCCTCCAAATTATCTAAACTTTAAGCCCTATAAATTCTGGATTCTTCCCTGGTCCTGTGGCTGAGCAAGTAATGTGAGCCCCCAGTTTTCTTATCTGGCAGGTAGGAACAAATCTGGTGACTCACCTCACGGGGTTCTTGGGAGGAAGTGAGATGGTGCAGCTGAAAGGACCACATTACTAGTTATGAAGAGCCACACAAATGTAAGTAAACTGGGATCACTCCTTCCTCCTCAAAATAATAGGCTTTGCATTTTCCCTAAGAGGTTATCTTTTCAGTGATCATACTTACATTTGGGGTTATTCTGAATTGTAGGATGGGCTAAGTTGCCTTTGGAGAGCTTCATATAGATGACAAGCAGCCCCAGGCAGAGTTAAAAGCCTAAGAAAGAATGATGTTGTATTAGCCCAAGTTCATCCATTACCATGGCTGGGAAACCAACATATTGGGTCCTCCCTGTTTAGGGGTGGTGAGCAGAGCTGCTTCTAAAAACAGCATTTAACATTCAAATTCAATAATATTCCAAATATGTAGATGACCTGTATTAAAACATAATTTTTAAGGGGAATTATATAGCTTATATCCTTGGCCTATCATTTAACCAGGAAAAATGGGAAAAGGGAAGTTCCATTCACTGAACACCTAACATATGTGAACATCTGGTCTAGGTGCTGTATATACATTATACCAAACACAATATCCCTCATTTTGCAGAAGTAAAAGCTAAGGCTCAAAGTGTTGAGTGACTTGCCCAAATCCACAGTGATTAGGGTATTTTAAGCAAAGTCTGTTTTATCCCACTCTTTCAGGTATTAGTCTATTGCTACATGCTGTTTCCAGTATAGTTTTTCTTTTCCTATTTGCTTGTCTTTTCCATCCTTATTGAATCTGGCTCATACAGTCACACTTGCCTGCAAAAATAATTTTGTAGCTCAGATGTCTAGTGTATATGCATAGGTCTTTAGTTCAAGTGCATACTTCATCATGAATTTATGGAAAGTAAGGAGTATATCTAATGCAATAAAATATGCCTTAAATGGTACTAAATTTGAATGGACAAATCTTTAACAGGAATTTTAAACATCTAAAAATGTTTGAAATGTATCATAAACTAGTTTGCCACCAACCAGACTGGTCATGTATCAAATTAATATGCACAATCTAAACTAAGATATTTTATTTCATGCTAAAATATTCAAGGCTAATCTCTTCAGTCTGAAAACAAATAGTAAGTCAACATTCTCAGGTTGCAGATTGACAGTGCCAGGCTAAAATGACTTTCCAAGAGGCAGCTTTATATATATTTTATCAGAACTCAAAATTACACACAGTTCACTTGCCTCTGTCCATTAAAATTTAAAACTGAGATGAGTTTAGTAGCTGGATTTTCACAGGGCTTTTGTGATTTAAGATTTTAATGAAAACTCTTGTTTTTCACCCTGATTTCTCCTAAGAATGGGGGTAGGATGCCAATCTAAGATCTTAAAATTGGACACCCTGAGTTTGTGATTTCTCTTGTTTATCTTTTAATTTGTAGGTCAAGACTAAAGCAGGGAAGGTAGGGCAGGAGGGAGAGAGAAAGAAGGGAAAGTGTTATTTTGGAAGGGGAAACCTTTATCATTCTGTAACAGACAAAAATATTAGGAATTATATTTTATAGGGTTCAGAGAGTATAATAACGAGAATTTTTGAAACCTAAGGGGATGACTCTTACCTTACTGTTTGAGAAAATGTGCATGTGAGATAATTTTCGTGTTAGGAACCCAAAGCCAGAGGATTCTGAAAAACCATATGCGTAGAGGGAGTATCATCCCTGAGAACCTGACAAGTAGGCAAGAGCCGATAACCTGAAGTATTTATTTATTTATTTATTTATTTAAGAGAAAGAATGAGAGAGAGAGCACATGAGAGGGGGGAGGGTCAGAGGGAGAAGTAGACTCCCTGCCGAGCCTCGATCCCGGGACTCCAGGATCATGACCTGAGCTGAAGGCAGTCGCTTAACCAACTGAGCCACCCAGGCGCCCATAACCTGAAGTATTTAAGTGAACTTTGGGTGCAGCCTGTATTTGTCATCTTTGCTGTTCAAATGAACTCAGAACTAGCAATATTCCACTAATTTGGGACAGGTTTCAAGGAAGATCCATTGTTTCAGTTTAAAGATATTTATTGAGCACCTACTACTAGGCAAGGCCCTGGGAATATTAAGATGAATAAAATTCAGTCCCTGCCCTTAAGGAGCTTACACGCTGGAGGGGAGGGGGGAGGTGGGTGTCAAACATACAGACAAATGCACAACTATATTACAATGATTAAAACACACATTGGATCAGGTACGGTGAGAACACTAAAAAGGAAGTGGAAAAGTCTCTGTGGGGAGCCCACGGAATCAAGAAAGACGCTTTGGAAGTGGGATAGGCTCCCAGATGGACAGGTTAGCCGCGGAGGTAGGCGGCGGAGTTAGCGCAGAGGAAGAGGAAACGGCGCGAGCAGAGGCACCGGCGTGAAACGGCTGGTTCTGCTCCGGGATCGCCCTCACACCCTTTTGTCTCCAGACAACGGGAGAAAACCAGTTCGACCCCTCACGGTAGGGCAGGTCTAAAGAAGTCTGGGAATATAAATCCTAGTAAATAGAGCTGCAAGGCATGATCTAGCCTGAGGAGATTTGTAGGAGCCGAAATGGGAGCCGCCAACTTTTGGAAAGATCGGGGCTCGGGCGGCGGCCGGGTCCTGCCTGAGTTTAACCGTGCGGCCGCGGGCCTTTGGTTCTCAGGGCGCTCTGCTCTGGGTCCCCGCCCCGACGGCTGACCCGCGGATCTGCGGGGCGCACCAAGCCCTCCCGAGGCCTCAGCGCCTGAGAATCCCGCTCCCTGAATCGGGAGCCTCTCTGCCCTCCGGTCCCTGCTTGAGCAACTCGCGTGGCGCCGCCGAGAGCCCGCCGTGACAACTGCCGTTCTCTGGTGCCGGTGCACGAAGGTGCTTACCGCTGCGGGACGAGCGGCCCTCCGCACGCTGGCTCCTCACACGCAAGCCCGACGCGCTCGGCAGCAACCCGCGCAGGCCCAGACCGGCGCTGCGGCCTCGCGGCTCGCGTCGCACCGTCTGGCACGAGGCGCAAGAACCGCCGCGCCGTCCGAGGCTACCGGCGAGCGCGCATCTGTTTAAACCCCCGCCTTGGTTTTTAACCCCGCGTCCCCCTTGGCTTTGAGAGGTTTCTCTGCTCGAGCCGTTTGAGTCAGGCATTCTTAACAATAGGAGTGGCTCGCGGCCTACGCGTCTGAGAGCTTCCAGGGCGCTGGACAGAAAAGGTGGGTGTGTGGAGTTGTCACCTCACGGAGTCGCGACCCAAACCTTGGAGGAGGGACACACCTTCTCGGGTACTCTGGGCCCACGATGGGCTTCTCCTAGGGAACAAAGTTCGTCCCGACTTCCTCTCAGGGCTGCCTCCCTTAGGGGACCCACGCACCCGCCGTTCCTGCCGCCATTTCCCAGCAGGCCTCCAGGGGGCCTCCCGGCCGCGGCCTTCCAGTCGGCCGCTCCCGGCCCGGGGGCCGCCGCGTGGGGAGGGACGCGCCTCGGCGCCCGGGCCAGTGCGCGAACAATGACCCCTTTTCCCCTCGCTGCCGCCTCTTCCCCGACACCGCCCCCCTCACACCCCCAGGCAAACCTATTAGCCATTCAGGCCGACAAAACCCCGCGGCCCCGCGCATTGTCCCGCGGAGCGCCCGGCCACCGTCATTAGCCCTGATTACGCTGAGCCGCCTGACAGCCCTGCGGGCCGCTCGGCAGACCCCCCATTCACCGCCGCCCCAGGGCCCCGCCTCACAATAGGAGCGGAAATCGTCCGCGCTCCCGCGTCCCGGCTGAATAGAGCGAAAAGCTGCTTCTCTTCTCCTCCCGCCCCATTCACGTTCTCTTTGGATACAATATTTTTTTCCTTTTTGTTAAAATTAGGGAGAGAGAACGAGGTCAAGGAAGATTTTGATTGAGCTCTTTGCCTGTCATTTGTTTAATGTAAACAAAGAGCAAGTCCTCCCCCCGCCCCAGCCTCTCATCCCCTCCCTCCCAGATTTTTATAAACAAACTGGAGAGGGAAGAGGGGGGCGGGGCGGGCGCGGCGGGTGGAAGCGGAGTGGGTCATTAAAGTGGAGGAGCGAGGAACTGCGGCATTTGGGGAGCGGGAGCCATCGCGCTTTTGGTGGAACTGGCGGGTGGTTGAAATATTTATAACCAGTAAAGAAGCCTGAGCTGGGGCTGGTGGTGAAATCCGCACACTGGTAAGATCCGTTGAATTGTTAAAAGGCAGCTTCTTTCCACTCTGCTGGAGTAACTGCTTTTTGGGAAATTGTTACAAGGAAATAAATTTCAAGAGAAGACAGAAAGGAAACCCATCATATGGAGATTTCTCCACATTCAGAAACCTTCATCCTTGCTGCAACCTGGAATTAAAAACAAACAAAAAAAACCTTTCTAGACCAGGATAAAACTGATACAGAAAAAAAATCGTAAAAAGAAAACGAAAACTTTTACGATACCTGCCCAAGGGAAGATTTGGACCAATTAACATAAATATCTGTGTGAAGATTTGGACCAATTTCCAACATGTGATTATCAAAGAATTGATTACTCACAAGAGCAATTAGGTGCCACCGGTTTCAGATAAACATTTTAAAAATTCTTTAAAATAATATGTCACCCCTCCCTTAAGATTCTAAAGTGAAATCAGATCAATAAACCTACAGATTGGTGAAACAGAACACCTACTTTATAATGTAATCCTTAGGCAACATGTTACTTTAAGCAAATTAGATGTACTTTAAAGGAAAATGTACTTTAAAGGCTTTCACCAAAGCAGGAAGAAAAGTCCTCTGGAACTGTTCCGTCTTCTCTTTTTTTGCCAAGCCGTAAGGGTTATTTAAAAATTATTTGTAAAGAGAAAGCTTAGTTCTTAGCAGTATAACCCTTTTTTCTTGAGAATGCAGAATGGACATTTTCTTCTGCTTTTAGGCATCATTTGAACTGGTGAGTGGGATGGGATTTTTAGAATCTCAACTGCCATTACATCATTCTGCTAATTAGTTCTTTCCCTTCCTTCTTGGACCTGGAAACATCAGCTTAAGAGATAAAATTTGCTGTCTTCTCCAAATGCTGGTTTGGATAGCTCCTTAGTACCAGGTGGGTCTGGTGAACAAGACTGGAAATTTCTTCATTTTTCCTTGAAGTGCAATACTTCTTAGCATATTCAGGACTAGGGTAAAACAAGGGAAACACCTACAGTGCAAAATTTAAGGAGGCACTCATTCTCAGATACCTTGCACTTGTGTACTTGCTGACCTTGAGAGTGAATGCCTCCTTAATTTTGTACTCTGGGTGCCTCCCTTGCCTCATAGGAGTCCTGGCCCAGCTCCTTGGCATTCAAGGAACTAGATGTGTGTGTGTGGGGGGGTGCTCTAGGAAACAAAATAAGAGTTTTCAGGAAGCTCTACCATCCTAGCCTTTCCGGACCCACGGAAGGGCATCTGCTCGCTTTCCTGAAGAACACCAGCTTGATCACAAAGACATCCCCATTCCTTCCATCTAGAGCTCTTGTGTACGAGAGTTTTGATTGTCAACAGTTCTCTGGATAAGGGCCTCTCTATACAGTGACAACAATTTATAAAACCCAAATAAGGCCAAATCTGTTTAAGTGATTTAGAAATCAAAAATAACTCTTATTCATATCTTGGGCTTCTCTCATATATCTTGCCATTTGACTGCTTTTTGTCTTCCATGACTTCACTTTTTTTTTTTTTGCACATTGGCACTTCTATGAAAATAAGTTAACAGGCTTCTGAACCAAAGGACATCTACTAAGGACAGATAGGTAAATTGAAGAGTCCAGTGTGTGTGTGTGTGTGTGGCAGGAGGAGCTCAAGGAGGGAAGTTCAGCTTAAGTGATTTAAAGATCAATGTCCAGTTTTATAATATATAACCCATTTCACTAGGAAAAAAGCTTAGAGACTCTGGATAACATTTACTTTTTTAGTACAGGACAGTGGGGTTTTTTTGTTTTGGTGTGTCTATGTGCCTGCATGTACCTACACAACTTTGTGAGGACAAATTAAATCCTAAGAATATTTGATAGTTTTAATTGAGGCCATTACAGGACAATGAAGCTCTAGGTGACTTATTTCATATGTTAATACAGAGATCAGACTTTAAAAATGCCAGTCATTTCTCTGCATCTTTCTGCTTCACTTCAGTATGTCACATGATTACATCCTTTCCTTCATCTAAGTATCCCTTTTGTGGAAAAATGTGTTTGATTAAAACCTGCTTCTGCATCAAGAAGATGTTAGTTTAGTTATTAAAACCTATCTTTTGTTTTATTTTAATATGAGTTCAATCCTAAACATAGTATAGACTCACTCTAGCATGATCATGGGTGCCTATTGCTTTTGTATGGTAGGGGTCCTGAAAGGAGATGGAAAACTTTTGTAATTGCAGAGCCTGCATCAGAATAGACTTGGATTTTTATAAAATAGGACTCATGACTCAGTCCCAGAGTTTGGCTTCTTAAATTGTTCCCGAAAGCCATTGACACTTCATAAAAGTGAGTGTCAGGTGGACAAGCCATAGTAACCTGTGCTTGAGGATGTGTGGAGTTGCCTTACAGGGGATGCTTATGTTGCCAGTTTCTCGGTTTAAATATATCCTACACACACGTATATACATACATATGATTTTTTGAGCAGGTGGTTATGGATCTACCATGAACCATTTAAAAAATATACCAGGAGACATCAGAGAAAGCAAAAGATAAGAGAAGACTCTCCTGAGACTATTTGCACAAGGGCTCCTGCTTACCTGGTGAAGAGTATCTTTTTTTTTTTTTTTTTTTTAAAGGAATGAGAGCAGCTCACTTAATTAAGAAAGGTTGCTCACCAGGTTTTTATTGTTGGCTTCTTCACACTGAACCCATCTGCTCCATCCTGCGGCTTTAGAAACAGCAAGTTCCCAAGATATAGAGAAACCTACCAGGGCAGTCTCTTAAATAAGTAAATAAACAGCATATATATGTTTTGTTTTGTTTTGTTTTGTTTTAAAAAACCTTTAAAGCAAAATTTATATAACAGCGTCCTTTCGACGTGAAATACCCACGGGAGATTTAGGGCAGGCGCTCAGCATGCAGTTCGGGTTCCGGAGGCATCTTTGCAGCAAAATTCTTGGAAAAAAGCAAAGCAAGGAGAACGTAGCGCTGGGTTGGGCCTCACCGCGGACCCCTGTGATAGCGGCCCTAGGGCGCCAGTGGAGCCAGGCCGGCCGCGGGGCAGAAATGGGCAACCGGAGCCCGCGGGTCCCTGGCCACCCGGTTTCGCAAGCAGTGGGTTTGCTTGGTCTCTGATCCTATTTCATTTTGTCTTGTTTTTACACTGGATTCTGTTTCTGAGCGTGCTGGATGAGCAGTTCAGATGTCGCACTCGCTGTCGCTGGACGTGATGGAGATGGCCGAAGTGGCTGCCTTGCTGGATAGGCTGGCGGCCGGGCTGGCGGCGGCGCCCAGCACCTCGGGCGTGCCCTCTTCCTCAGCCCTTAGAACCCGTCCGGAGCCCTGCGACATGACCTGCTGCTGGAGTCTACGGGAAGGAAAGGGATACCAGTCACCGAGCGTAACATAGCCGCTCATTGCGACCCCCACCCCCACCCCCCGTCTGCATCCATTAAGCTCAGCGGCCAGCGACCTTCCACAGACCCGGGCAGTTAAAGTGGGAAAAGTGAGGCAACAGAGGCCAGGGCCGGAGTCCGCGGCCGCCTCTCCAAGTAGCCCTGCAGTTGTCTCATCCTTCTTCTGAATCCTTTCTCGGCTCCCCATCAGGGACGCTAGGCTCACAGGGTCATTCGCGATTGTTGGCCGCCTTTGGGAGATTTACAATACTGTCAAGATAAATGAGGTGTGGGTGACAAGGACGTATCAAGCTCCTGGATAGGGAACCCCCTTCCCAGCGTGCATCTTTTCTGGGCGCACGCTCGTGTTAGTGCCCTCAAGGCCGGGTCAGAGCAAAGCTAAAAGCAAAAAGGGCTGCCTGAGGATTACACGGAACGTTTGGGCCTGGGGGATGAGGCGGGGTTTCTTGGCCAAAATGTTTGGCTAATTTAGATCCACACGCTGCGGACCGAAAAGCCTCAGCTGACTAGTTTGCTGTTTTGAGGCAGGGTTGTCCACGCGTGAAAAGAGGAGAGCTCGACTATCATCCAGAAGTCCATTGAAAACTCTTTTCAAAGCATTAGAGAAGAATTTATCTGGGCTTTTAAAATGGCAACGCTAATGCCACATTTTGCTAATAAGCCAGGCTTCACTTAATAATAGGAGCCTGGGCCCAGGCTGACAAGAATTAGCTTTGGGCCTTGGGGTCCCTAATTATTGCTGGGATTTTAATTTTCATTTCTTTCCCCTTCCCAATGCAGCCTTGGTTTGGCGACTGGAACTAGCTGGTGGAGCGACCCCCGGGCACTGAGAACGAGAGAAAGAGTATGGGGAACCTAGAGTCCGGAAGGAAACCGTCCCTCTCCTCCCCGCCCAGGATCCCAGA